TGTTGAAATTGGGAAGAGATTATCGGGAGAGTCGCGGCCCAATCACCTCACTCGGCGGGCCGCGTCTTATCAAAGGCCGTACTTCTTACACGCTGTAGGTTAAGGCGCAACCCGCGTGGGGTACGCCGCATTGATGGGGCTACCCTAAGTGTTTGTGAGAGTCAATAATCGCTTCTCGGGTTCGGCCCTGTCTGACAGTTAAGTTTTTATGCTTACGAAACGAACTTCAGCAGTCGGATGAGTGTTATCGACGACATTAGATGATGTCGACAGATGAGCTAACAAGTTGCTCAATTTGCAGTCAAGTCTTTGTCATGAAAAAGAATCCAAAAGATTTTTTCATTCTCCCTAGGCCTCACAAGCATGCTAATCGGGTCAATATCGGGCGCTTACAGGATGCGCCGCGGTCACTTATCGGGTCCAATATCGGTTTATACCGGGCAGCTCGCGGCATGGATGATTGGTGGCCGAGCAAGCACCCCCGAACTTCCCGATGCAGTTGTCTGAGCCGATGCCTAGTTACCAGCGGGACCCAGTCACACACGCAAAATTAAGGCCGTTGTTAGATAAACGCTTCCAAAAATACCACCGAGACCAAGTTACTCACGCACTTTCTTGTCTACATGCGTAATCTCAAAGTAACTGTTCTTGGTTGGAGCATTTTTACCAAGAGTTGAAAACATAGATGAATTTAGCAGTCACGCTGTTACGCAATTTGGCATCATTTCAAAAGCAACTAATAGAAGTACAACATATTTGAGAGACACATTCTGGGATAACAAGCTCGAAAAAAAGTAGGTACAAATAACACACTCGGACACTGGCGACCCAGTCTCAAAATCATTGCGACCTCATGATTGCCTTTCGAAATACGTGTGACTCTTTTACGAAAATATGCTTGGTCACTCGTTATGAAATTTGGCAGCGTTCCAAAATGCATGCGATCTGGCAGCAATCCAAGAATGAACATCTGTACACTTCATCATAATTTCTCCGTCTGCTCTCTCCTCGTTTGCCGTGTTCCACGGATTAGGGGTGGCCAAGTGGTAAACAACGAATCCAAAATATATATTACGTAGTGATCACAGAACTTTCCCACGCCGAAAGTGTTGTGCAAAATCGCGTCGTCCCACAGCGTCGCCACGCAAAATTAGACGTCGTCGTCAATGGGTTAATGCAAGTTTCGCAAAGTGTTATACTAAGGCCCGTATGCACGTACATCCCCGCGGGGAGGGGAGGGGAGCTGAGAGGGGAAGCGTCATATTTCGCTATTCTGTATGTCTTTCGTCTTCCTTCTTTATCTGTGATATGAAGGTTCTCTTACCCTCATACCTGCGCGTAATGCATGCCAGGTTATTGCCATACAAGATTAGATTTTCACAAGTTTGTGTGATCCCGCGGGGATCCTCAGGGGATCACCTCTTATTTTCAAAGTCATTTATCTTCCTACAAATTCAATGAAAATGTTGTAACTTTGTGCTGAGAGTATAATATGGTTCTGCTTAACATGTTTATAATAGAAATAAGGAAAATCTCAGGATATCGAAATTTTCGATGAACCGCTGCTCTCGAGCCAGGGATTATCGAAAAATTGATAATGTTCAGATTCCATTTCTTCTGTCAAAAACATGCTTAGCAGTGCCCTAGTATATCCTCAGTACAACTTTACAGCATTTTCATGGAGTTTTCAGAAAGATAAATGACTTCGAAAATGAGAGGTGAATCCCCTGGGGATCCCCAGGGGATCACCAAAACTGGTGAAAATCTAATCTTGTATGGCAGTGACCTGGCATCTATTATGCGTAGGTATCAGGGTATGAAAACCTTCATATCACAGAAACGAAGGAAGAAGAAAGGTATACAGAGTAGCGAAATATGACGCTTCCCCTCTCAGATCCCCTCCCTTCCCAGCGGGGATGTACGTGCATACGGGCCTAAAGCGTTATTTCAGAATGCATTGAAGTATTATGATCGGAAATTTTCGTCAATCCGTCGCATGTTTATAGTACCACAAGCGCTAACGAGCAATATCACGAAAGAGCAAGAAACCATTTTTTCCAAAAGTGTCAAATCTGAGAGGACATAATTCTCATTGAACATTGTCAAATAGTCGTGAGCTTACTCGTCATCGAGCCACAAGCATGTATTACGCAAACAGCACAGGTAATCAAAAGATAGGAGAAATGCGAAACTGTTTTGTGGCTTTTATTCTTTAGGCCATTCAATCCCAGATTTTGCTGAATTTCTAATTCATGGCAAATTATTAGGTTGTAAAGAAAGTTCCCGGGCACTTCTGAAAATTTTTTTCAAATCGCTATAACTTGAAGCAGATTGAATCTTTTTTGAAGCTACAAACTTCATTGCAAAGACAATTTTGTCCACAACATATATTTGTCTTGCTGGCTTCTCAGCACCTCCCTGCGGCCCACCAGCATGCGCAGAAGGGAAAAAGGTCGTCGCGAAAACTGGCCTATTTGTGCAGGATTATCTCATGCCGGATGAGAGCTGGAGAGCCCAGATGCTGTAGTCATATAGAGGTCTGTTAAGGCTGTTAGGGGGACCATTCATGGTTTTGAAGGACCACCTGCAAAAAAATTTTCCCCAAAAAGTTTGAAAAATCGACCATTTTTTGCTCCCAAAAATGCACCATTTTTCGAGTAAGTGACTTTGAAGTCTTCTAGTGCTGCACAGAAAGGACCAAATCTTTGATTACTGGGAACATTGTTGGGGTAATGTCTTACACATCTTCTGGACCCATCACTCAGGCGAGGCGATCTCTGCAGAAGCGACGCGACGCCAGCTGCGAAAATAGTTGCAATCAGAGGCAAGTTCAACAGCTTGTAATTACTGAGCACAAATCGCAAAACTCGAGTGCAGCTGCGGGTCAGAAGTTAACAGGTTCCTCAATCAGATCACTCATGATTTGGACGAAATTATTTGAACTGTACAGTAAAATGGGCACAGGAAGAAAAATTGCGAAATTTTCATGGTTGGGAAGATTTCCTTTTTCGATGTGCAGGTCAAACACGTCTTGGCATCGATAGAAATCAGAAGGCGTATTGAAAACCTCAGGCTTCCCTCTACTAAACATTGTAAAAAACCTAGTGTCAAAGTCCGACCGAGCGCCGAAAAAATGCGTTTGAAAATGAAATTCCAAAAGTGCCCGGGAACTTTCTTTACAACCTAATATAAGCAGCCCAGCGACATGTTTGTGACAGCCTCGGTCTTGCACCGATCGAAACCGAGAAAGTTCCTTGTTACATTTACTTCCTTCAAGGAAAGTTATATAAGCCATGCATTAACAAAGACGACTCTTCAAGTGTATATCAGATATCTCTGCTCCAGCGACTGCTGAACTTTTTGGCGAATGAAAGTCAAAAAATGAGAGAAAAGAATCGTTAAGTTTATTTTTCTCACTAAGAAACTAGCGAAAACGAAACAGGCAGAGCTAGCAGCGGAGGCACAAATATTGGAAGCATGAGGAGAGATAGCATACAAAGTTGGTCAGGGCAGATTCTCATGAGCTTCTAAAGTGCCCAAAAATGCCCTACCTGCATCGCTTATCATTATAGCAGACTCTCACGTGAGCTTCCAAATCTGGTCCGCAGCTGCGACTCCTACGCCGGGAAAATTGTTTTAGAATATGGTTGGCTTGCCTTGCAGATTATACTGTCAAATCGGGTACAGTTGGAAAAAATATTTTGATTGGCAACTTTTGCAGGGTCTATTGTGATCTTTTTACATTGTGCAAGTGACTAGACAAATTTTTCGAAATTTAGAACATTCTGCAAAGTATAACCTGCGGAACTGTGACTGCCTCATTTAAATTTTGTAAAAACACAAGAATTTTTCCAATAAAAGGACGGCTAACTCCAGAATACATTTCTCCCTCCCCCCCCTCCTCCCGAGAAAAATCTCGCACGGCCGTGATCTTGTAGCGGGTCATTTCTTGAATTTCAGACGACGTGACGACGTGGAAATATTCACCGGGTAGCCGAGGAGAAGCAAAAGCACTGTCATAACGCATTGTCATCCGCATTTGTATAATTCGTTGTAGGGCCAAGTGGAGACGTGAGTTTTTGTTCAAGGACTAACTACCTATCGCACAAAACCCAGCAACGGTAGACAGACTGCACCTTCGAAAAGAGTTACTTTGCCCCTTATGGGAGGCGTCCATTACTTGTGAGTGTCAATTAGAATTTGCCGTGACGCGGCGTTACAGTAATCCGGGCGAGAGGCAGCAGGGCCCGGGGAAATGTCCCGGAGGAAATGTTTAGGGTTCACGTCGTTATGGTGAACAAAAAGTACATATTTTGTGACCATACTTAGTAATTTCCATATTTCGATTTACTATCTCTTTCATTTTTGCAAGATTTGTGGCCAAATTTCATCAAACAGTGAAATTTGATATGATATTGTAAGAACCTTTACAAAAAATGGAGTAGTATGCTTTGCAAGTCGGCTAGCCGAGCTCTCCTCGCAACTGATTACTGCCAGCCTGTCGCGCGCGCCCTCTGCGTAACTGACAGTCACAAGTAATTAGATACACCCCCCCCCCCCTTATCCCTTCTCAAATGTGTGGCTCTTGTCTTACCGTTAAAAGACTTGAAGGTGAACAAAAGGAAAACGAAGAGCAAAGCAGAGAACACCAAATCACTGATGATATGTGTTGAAAGTGTGCACATGCACCCTCCTTCACCAGCACTTTTCCAGCTCGAGATAATTCGCACACTAAAAGCTGTGCGTACTAAAATGGAGGTGCAATTTTTTGCTCATGATGCGCAAAAAAGTACTTTCTGACGACATAATGCACAACCTGCTGCTGAGCTTTTGCTAGGTCTTTCTCACCCATGAACGTGGAATGGAATGTGCTTTTCACACAAACATGTATATAAGTCAGATGAATAAGCTCTTGGTTGTTCTTTATTAACGACGCAATCACACGGTAACTAAAAAATAGTCAATAATCACTGATAATATATATATATATACTTGAGATGGTCGGTTTGACACCATGTTATGTAAACATACAACAATGGTATTGTGGCGAGATCAAATTCTAGATTATGGGCAAGGCTCAGAGATTTGTCATTGGCAACAACAAATATCAAACACACAATCTCCCTGTCTTGTCTAACGCGACGCCTTAGTTCTGGCAATGTTCCTCACAAGGCAGCGAGTTGTAGGGAGAACAAACGGAAACAATTATCCCTCTTAATGTTGTAGTGAAAGGATACGGAAGCACATGCGAAGAACAAAACGATTCCTAAAAATGGCATTAACTCTCCAGATTCTCATATTACTAGAACAACGAGTATACAATATAAAAACTATCTTTACAAACAATAACACATATGTATTACAGAAAGAACGTCGACTAGAGGAAGATGACACTAGGTGAACTAATAGTCAAGAAATCCTGAATGCTGCGTTAATTACAATGCAAAATAATGTACAAAATGCACTAAGCGGTGATGAGGTGCGGGATTTAGAGCTAGAACGAATAACTAGAACTGGTACTGTTGTGCACGTGCGTTAGTGGACGAGAATACTACACCGACACCGAGTCGAGGTGGGCTCGGATACCCTTCAGCTGGTCGACGGCATCCTCTCGGAAGCGGGTCACGTTATTGTTCATCCCGGTGGTCAGCTGCACCAACGTGTATATCGAGTTCAGCGCCACCTCGAGCTGCTTCTCCAGACGCCCTATGCGAGTGTCCATACCGGAGAGCATCTGCAAAACAAATAGCTACCAACTGCACAAAAGAACTTCAAAATGGGTTATGCGCACTTTTGATCTAACCTGCTGCTAGGGTTTACAGAAAGAAAGAGACTTTTAATGCTCACAGTGGTTCACATATTTCTGTCAAAGGACAACGCAACTCCACTCTCGGGGACTGTTTCCTAGCATGAATGGTTAGACCAGCTGATTGACTACGTATGGAGAGTCAAAGTTGATGCAAGAACAGCCGCATACATTCAAACTTAAAACAGAACTCAGTTTGAGAAAACCAGATGCCTCGCTTATTTGTAAGGTCGATATCAAAACTATTCATTCTCGCTCTACAAATGGCATCCGAGAGGTCAAACAGAGTCGACAATTGGGCACTTCGCATTACTATTAGGTCGTAACATAAGTTTTGAAACACTTTTTTCATTTTCTTCTGAAAAACTTTAAAAACTTTGACCTTCACAGGTATGGGGTACGGTAAATGTAAAGAGGATTTGTGAAAGCACTCAAATCTCCATTGTTTTTCTTTTGCCTCTAAAAATTCTCTCGTTCTTAATTATTATGCTCTCAGATTTTTGTTGGATTCCTAGGGACATTGGTACTAATATGAGGGAAGTTTGGAAGTCAAGGCTGTTCAATAACGCAAGTTGGAAATTTGCGAAAAATAACTCAGAAATATTCAAAAAATTCAAAGATTGGTTTTTTCACGTGTGGCACGTATATAATGAATATATACGTGATATATTGAAATAATAAATATAATATATATTGAAATGTTACAGCCCTTCACTCAAATTGAAGGTGAGAAAAACCTTTGGTAAAAGTTATGAAGGTTTTTTCTTCATATGTAACAAAACTTATGTACAACCTAACATAAAGTGAGACATGCTTGAATAAGAACTACAGCACACCGAATATCAGTAGCGTACCGAGGGGGGGGGGGGGGGGGGGGGGGCGCGCGCCCCCCCCCCGAGAACGGGTCGCGAAATTTTTGAAAGTTACTTACATGCGTTATAAAAATGTGCAAATGACTTGTTTATTTTTGTAAACAATTAAAATAATTTTTAAAATTTTTTAAAAATTCAAATTAGCCTTATAAAAAAAATTTTTTCGGGGGCGTGGCTGACGCCACGCCCCCTTTTTCCAGATTTTAGGGGTTGGGGGCCCGCAGAATTGTTGAAAAGCCCCCCTAAAATTTTTTCGGAGTGCGTGGCTAACGCCACGCACCTTCATTTAAAAAATTTTTTTGCCGCGCCCCCCCCCCCCCCGAGCCGAAATCCTGGGTACGCCACTGCCGAATATGTATATCACTGCCGTTAAATTTCTTAGCTTTAGTTTCTTGAATTTCTTAGCTCTAAGTAGTTGTTCCTGCTCCCTGCCCCCCCCCCTACCGAAAAAGCAGTGGAAGAAAATTGGCTACTAGGGTCGTAAAAAAGTATTCTATGCGTAATGTCATTGAAGTCATGTTCGCTGATAATTTTTCATCGCATTTTTTCAAAAAGAAATTTGACCGGTTTATCAGATTGTAAAGAGAAGCTCGCAAACAATGCGCTGCACTTCATATCATTGCATTTCCAAAGCAAAACTTCTGCTAAACAAAAGCAGTCATGATGAGCAGATGGAAAAGTCGCAGAGCAGCAGTCAAACCCATTAATGGATTTCAAGCATTGGAATTTTTGAGTATGCAACCAAAAATTGGCTTGCAAATCCGAGAGAGCATTTCAGAAATGTTTTGAAAAAGTTCTGAAAGTTATTTTCTTTTCACACTTTCATTTTTGAGCCCTCCACGTTGCCGACACAACGAAATGCTGAATGGGCGATGCCTGAGAGAGCTCCTCCGAAAGTACTTTATATACTTCACTCTCCTACTTTCTGTTGATTTCATTTCTCGCGACTATGAATTTCGGGCCGCCGACGAAAGTCTCTGCTCGCCCAAATCGATGACTGTGAGGAACGAAGTCGCCGATCGACGACTGGTAACGCGGGATGCGAGCCTAGCTTTTCGTTCGAATGATAGACATCAGTGCGAAAAACTCAAATGCATTTTATGTATAGGACAGTGCAGCTCGAGTGGACCTAAAGTGGTTTCTCTACATATGTGCAAAGGAGAAGTCAAAAATAAGAGGAGTTATTGTGCTGCTGAATACATTAAATCTATTCCGATGTACCACCGCACAAAAGCGGTTGAGCGAGATTCGGATAGAAGGTTTTCGTCAAAACTGAGAGACATGTTTTGAACTTCCAGCTCTCACTAGATGAGCCCAATGACAGGCTTATAAAGATCAAAATAGTACGCAGAACAGCATTTTCGATGCTGATGCAGTGGGTGAGTTAAATTCACCTATCATCTACTAAATGACCATTGTCTAAATTCACATTACTCTATGAAAGGAAAGCTTTGCTGTAATGATAGCAGCTGCAAAACTGTAAGTTTCACTTTTTCTTTCAAAATGAGTGACTAATATCGTGGATACACTTCCCTCTTTCTCAAATTTTGCGGGACAAACACTATCCTTCCCTCTTTCTCAAATTTTGCGGGACAAACACTATCTCCATAAAAAACCGCTATAAAAACAAGATACCTGCTCTGTACTGGGTGCGGCCTGAGTCTGGCGTAAGTCAGCTATCTGCGTTTTCAAATCAGATACAAGGCTTCGCATTGCTCGCAACTCAGTCCGAAGACAATTCTCGTCGGTGGCTTCACACTCGCTGGTTTTCTCTTCTGATGAACCGATGGATTCCGGCGGAGGGAATCCGTGGTTTAGTGTCATGTGAACGTGCAAAGAGGAACCTGCAAGTAAGAACTATAAGACGAAAAAAATAAGTTTTGTTGAAATAATCACAGACAGGGATATGCAATTAGCTTTCTGAGTCATATCTCAGAAAAAAAGGAGAACATTTGCAACATTCCAACATCTTTTCGGCGCACGCTTTGTTGTGGTGCTCATCTCTAGCATATCTGATGATAACGTAATCAAGCCATAACCAGGGATTCGGCACAGGTGGCTTATAAGCAAGCTGGATACCGTTTTTAGGGCAAAAAGCAAAGGGGGTTTCGTTTTTATGGCCGAAAAAACACAAATTTTGCGACGTTTTTTTTGGTCGACGTTTCGTTTTTTGGAGAATTTTTAGGAATGGACTAGGGTCAAAGGGGACTTCGTAAAAACTCGCAAAAGTCAAGGGGGACTTCGTTTTTTGCATTTTCAACTGACCACCTCGTGCCGAGCCCTGGCCATAACCCTAACCGAGACAGTCAGATCCATAGTTGTTGGTTCAGTTTAACGCTTACAAACAAAAGAGACAAAGCTGAGGAATCCAGAAGCTAGAATGATTCAGAATGCTAAACTACCACTACTTCCCACTGAAATAATGTTAAATACACACTCATTTCTTTCGACTGATAAAAGAAATACATGTATCTCATAGCTATAGCGATGACAAAAGGAAAACCTCTAGGCAATATATTCCGCTAGAGGAATCAGCTACTTGAGTCTAAACCGTTTCCTATACGGTTTGCCCAGTAAAAGACTATGGTCCTGATAACGCTATAAATGCAACTGCAGTTTCCTAGCCGTAAAAAACGATGCTCCTTCCAAAGGAGATACAGGACTCAGAGAAGCAGTTGTTGCTTGATACTCCTTGCTACTCTCAAACATTTCGTCGCTATTTTCCATCTTAGCGCTCTTCCACGACACCGATATCTTCAAATTCATCACCAGCATGCTTTTTCGCGATTTGAGAAAAGTAGCCTAAGTAAACAATCTAGCTTGCACGAACTGTTCGAGTCCTTGAGTGGATAATCCCCGTTGTCGAACATGCTAGAAAGACAGCTACTTTACATTTATTTCGAATTGCGTGAGATTAGGGCCACTCTTCTTTCCCCTAAAATCCACGAAATAGGAGGGCTCCCTATCCTGTACAACGTCTGCCGAAGCAGTCACCAAGCCCTCACCACAACCACCACTGAAACGTATCGATCGCGACATCCTAGCAAGGGTTTCGGGGATTTCGATTTCCACTACTACACCATTGTGCAAGCGTGCAGAAGGTTTACTTTTGGCAGCTTCTCGAAACAACTTTGTTTTCCGATTTTCTCCGAAAGCTGCTGGGTTCGATGCAGCATTACTTCGACAGCGAATGGCCCTGAAAGATGATTTCGATGAAGATTGTCGCACGGCAGAGAGACTGGCAGTCGCCTCCCGTTTCTGTATACTCCCCAGGCGATTTACGTTACACGAGCGTGGTGTGTGTGTGTATGTGTGTGGTCCACTAATGGCAGCGCTTCCGGAGTACGATCTTGCTTTCCCGCCGCTACATCGATCTGCGCTACTCGACTAACCGCAATAGCGAAACAGTGGGGTAAACATTTCAAAACGGAGCAGCTTCGTAGGAGGAGCACACTAACAGCAATGTAGTTTGTGCACTTCTATTTATCGCAAAGCAATCTTTTGCTTCCCTGAGGCAGCGATGCCATTGCTAGATGCCAACCCGCTGATATTCTTAAGTTCGCCACTGCTTTTAGCATAAAGCAGAGCCCTTGCTTTCGCTGCACAATAGCGTTCGAGCGGCAATCTTAGTAATTGCGCGTCATTCAGTGGTCGGTTCGGAGAATCCTTGGACCCGTTAGGCTGCAAATTTCGCCGACTCTGACTTCCAATATAGTTTTTTTGGATCAAGCAGTTCTTTGGAGATAAAACATATCGAAATTACTTGCTTTCACTATCATTCAGCATCAAAGTTCGAGAAATTAGCTATAAGTTATGGTGCTCCAAATGCATGTCACAGCAATCAGAAAATGAAACAACTGCACTTGGCGCAATCGCGGAACTGGAGCAACTGAGGTTCGGAATCAACTCATCTCTTTTGTCTGATGGTCTCCACTCCGCTGTTTGAAAGCCTGGCTCCACCAGAGCGCATCGTATTCTATAAGGTTGTGCCGATGTATGCATGTGCATACTAGGATTCGCAGTACGATCGATACGCAGCCCAGTCCACTTAAAAACCTCCGACTAATGCCCTATGCAGCTCGGTCAGACGATATATATAAACAAATAAATAAAATAAGATTCTCTGTAGTAAGAGTCGGAAACTGCTCTCTTTTTCCAATATAGTGTAGTCTTAAACTGCAGTCTTAGAAATGAGATAGTATACAAAAACTATAAATGACCTTTGATCACCTAGAGCATCTAAAGACAAAAGAGATAAACAACTGAATCAATAGCAGATGCTAGGATAACACGAAGAAAAGGGGCGGAGACGTCCTCAGCGCACTAAGCGAAAAATGAACGCGAAGGCGGGGCAAAAGGGAATTTAACGATGTAAAACATACTAATGAAACCTTACCCAATTTAGGGAGTATAATATGACACGTAGACAGAGTGGATTAGGCTCCCAGAGCCGACAGAGTTTACGTCCCTCTCAGAAACCCCTTAAATTACCGAATCTACTCTCAGGCTTGTAATCTAGAAAGAGATCTCAATCGAGCACATCATTTCCCTTGCATCACCACTGCATCTACAAGATCGCATTGCTATCGCGCCCACATCGTCAGCTTTTATTGTAAGGAGTGATAAAGGGGAGACGGTCAAGAGGCGCGATTTCTCCGGCTGTCACCAAATCAAAGCTTCAGTTTAGTGCCACGCGAGTCTTCAAAAAATATCAAATGAAGTGCATTAGCTTACTATCTGTCTGTGGTTACCGTTTGCTGAATTTGGGTGCTTTTGCTTCAAAACGGACCGAAATAATCAAGAATTTGTTCTTAACTACATTTTCTTGGATTTTTGGCCTTCAAAATTGCTGTTTTGAATTGATTCTAAGGTAGCAAGATTGAGGAAACCCATGCAACTATCTAATATATCTCTTTCTAAAATTTAAATACTTTTAGAATGTTGTAAAACACTTATTATGCGCTATTTGATGTCCATCTGGCAATAAAAATCGCGCCTCTTGACATACACCCGTGATAAAGTGAGGGTAGCAACATAGGAAACTGATTTCAATGTATGCGCATAATCCAATTTCAGTGTGCGAAAGTTGACAACATCCAACCGTTTGTCCCTTTTAGCGTTAAAATGCTCATTTTTAATCTTTGTAGTCTGAAATTGCTACGATGATACTTTATGAGCTTTATTAGCCAGGAAAGAGAGGGGAAAGGCGAGGAGAGGACGAGATGATTTCCGAAAACTAGTTTACAGGTAGTTCAACCTAACAAGATGTGATACAGTATAAATTATGCCATCACAGAATGCAGAACCCATCGACTAAGGCAGTTTCTAATTACGTCTATGAATTATGGCTGTCAGTTTTGATACTACAAATGAGGGGCACCCTGTACAGAATGCAAACCACTTTTCTCCCCAAAATTTCAAACTATGGCCAAACTCACTTTTACGAAAGTGTTTGCCACACTCAGAACACTGTGTTTTGCTATTAGAGAGATGAGGTGGCGTACCGACTGAAGCAATCAGAGCAGCTAGTGATGTCTCGCCTCCAACCTAAAACCACTATGCTCAGAATGCGACGAGGGCTTTTGCGAGCGAGCACAACGATTGTGGCTTACGGTATTGTTGGGTAACGGACTTCCGTATGACTGATCCTCATTATATTCTGGCTTTATTGAGCAGTATGTGCCTAAAATGACTGATTACAGTTAGATCCTCTATCCCATTTGATGTGGAAATGACACAAAAGTCATTGTGAGGATTGAGATTATCTTACTACAATGACTGTGCAAAATCAGAAGGCGAAAATTAGTATAACTAACTACTTTGAAACAAGATTAGTCGTGATGACAGGTTCATTAAAATATATTCTTTACCGTTTTCAGGGCTAGCGCTCGCTTCCGGGCTGTCCCGCAAGTCCAGTGAGTGACTGTAGTCGAGCCCGAGCGAAATCAAGATTGACCTTAAACTTGTTGTTGAAATCACGTCACAAAAGGAAGGGATTGAAAAACACAAAAGCTCATAAAATCAAATAAGGTGTAAAAATGGGATATCATCGCATCGAGGAAACATTTGTCACTGTTAATGTGGTCAATGAAGCATGAACGTATCGATTAAAGAGCCCTCCAAAAGGAAAACCCTATATTGTTCTAAGTGGAAAAATTCTCTAAGGAAATGAATCAGTGAAGTACGACTATATTTCTGAACGCCTTCGAGATCAGCAGGCCAACTGCCAGATAAATCGAACAAAAAAGGCACCTTTCTTGATCATTTGGCTCCTCCTTTGGTACAAGACATGGTGAGGTTGACTCGTTATTCGTATTTTGAGCCATAACAATCATTGATTTCTCCAGAAAGTCCACTGCTGCCGGGTCCTTAACCGATTTTTTACCCTAAAGGAGTTCCGTCGCACAATGCACAGAACTCGTAACTTGCGAGGCAAAAGTTCCGTTACTAGAAACAAGCTCACCTTTTTGATTATTATATCATCCTTCCCGATCTGTTCATTTTGTTCTTTCTTATGATGTTTCAGTATGTGCTTGGTGAGGTTTCCTAGAAAACTGTTGTAATATTTTACATGATAGTGGTTAAGTTCATGGTTTCGATTTATTGGCTTGATAGAGAATGGGTAGTGCGCGAAGGATAAAAGCCCACCTTTCAGGCGGCTGCTCTTGCCACAGTACTTGCAAACGTATGGCTTCAGCGCTGTATGCACTGACCGGTGCTCTGCGAGATTCGATCGAAAACGAAACGCTTTCCCACATATCTCGCAGATAAACGACTGAAAGAAAACCAGATTTATAATACATTGCGATAACTATGCAGAGAAGTTTCAGGATGTTGACGTCACATCGTACTTCGGTGCGGTTCTCTCTGCCCCGAGGGGAGACTACGATTCTGTTTTGCAATACAATGTCTCCCAGCATTTGCCCTCTCGACGCGCGTCAGGATCAATTTTACATGCGTGGCGACGCGAATTGACAGATGGCCGGTTCGTTTGCAATTATTGGAGATACGGTGGTGGTGCTGTGGCTAACTAACTAACATGAAACACCTGGTTTTTGAACAGGCAGCTTCGAATGTTTGGAATACTGAAACTGGCGAGATTTGGAGTGAGAGAATCTAGAAGCTCAGAAGCACCTGCTACATAAGTATAGGAGCTTGTAAAGGTTTCAAGATAGTAGCACCGACGTTATTTGAGCCGAATTCTCTTTCTCTTTCCTTCTTCCGCCTAGTTCTGTTATAAGCGAGGTCATATTAGATTATAACATTTAAGTCGCAATACAGACCTTGAAGACTCTTTGGTGCATTAAGAGAGCACTCTGAACTGACAGCCGCTAATTGCACTTCCCAAGCTCAAAAGTCAAAGTCGTAGTTGGAGCTGCATATGGTAACACATCCAAAACAACAAGACAGTAATTAGCTGATTACGAAGTGTCCCGTTACCGAAAGAGGAGATTTCACAGTAACTGTTTGCAGGTTATGTGAAAAATTTTCGTGCTTTGAACATGGCACGATTTAACTTCAACTTCTTTTGTGTTACTACAGCCGAAATGGTTAGGCTTATGAAAAATATATGAGACATAAACGAGATAAGCTGAAGCAGCGACTGCTTGCCACGAAGGCTGACGCAAAGTTTAGGCTGTCCAGGAACGTTTAGATCTCAAGAAGATACGAGACCTCCATGCACGGAGACTGGTAAGAAAACAAAAAGTAAAAGTCACACAAATAAGCGTTAGGATATCAATAGTGGCTTTAGAAACGCTCGGAGAATAAAGTAGTTCATATAGGTGAAAAAATAAAATGAGTAGGTTTTCTAGATCGCATATTTACATATTCATTGCTGGTTGTGCTAACCAAGCTTCAAACCGTTCATCCGATAAAATTGTGCAGGTCCTATGAATACGATGACATCTGTTCCGTGACAGCTGGCTTGCCACAGGCTGTACTGTCGGCTAAAGGTCGGGGCGCATTGTAAACAATAACAGCGGTCCAGAGCCCAGTAGCAATCAGGGAAGACGCAAATGCGCAGTGCACTGCTTAGTACCTTTGACTATATTGCAAGATGAGTGTAAGACAAAGCTTGGCTATTTTGGATCATGTTTTGGAATATACGACAGCAATGAGGAAGACACATTGTAGCGCCATTAACGATGCACGGGACTCCGCCAGTTCGCAGATTTTGTATCTACAGCAGTTGTATCGGTACGCATTGAAGTAGAGGGATATGAAAAGGATCTGGATGGAAAGTTGCAAAGATCAACTCACCTTATCCGAATGGAACATTTGCTGGTGCTGCTGTAAAAGTCGTACATTTGCGAATGTTTTCGGGCACTGCGGACAGGGAGACGGCTCGTCAACAGCCATAGACGGCATTTCGGCGATCTCCACCATTTTGAGCGATTAGAAAACAAATTCTCGGACTAGCAAGTAACGCAGTGGTCGGATCTGTGTAGGGTCAGGAGGGTGCTTCTGTCCTCAGGGTAGGATCGATACAGACTGGCGCGCGCTTGCTCGGAAGCCCGCGGCTTTACAGTGAGGGTTGCTCTAGGCACCGCCCATCATCTCCGACAACCTCACCACGATCTCTTCGGAGCGGAAGCTTGTTCGATTCCGAACCTCAACTCGGTCCCTTCCAGTCAGATGCCCACTCTGGACGCCGCGCGCTGCGTCTACAGGTCGCCAGACCGCAAAAACAGCTTCTCTTGCATGGAAAGCGCATTTCGCCGCTTTCAGGTGACGAGCTGCTTTTCCACCAGGTCTACACGCCCAACAACTTCCATCAGCCTGCCGGTGGCAGCCTCCACGTCTGACTCACTGTCGCCCAAGAATGCGTGGCTGATACCGTAACGCAAAGAAGCTCGCACCCTGCCTGTAGATTACTGCCGTATACTTCGTAAATAGTATGAGAAAGCTTTTGCGCGGAAAGCGAAGTCATTTTTATTTGTAGGCGTCTTTTTTACATTGGCGTATGCCTTTTAGAGAGTATAGTCTTTGCGATCTCATCTTCTCTATTTGTCGATGGCAAGCAGCTTGCGCATTTTCTGTTTACTGTCCATTTTTTCGAAGTCATTAACTTTTTATCCAAGGCTAATGAACAAGAGAAAGTCCTTCTTGTGAAGCACTCATAATCAGCAACTTCTAAGATTTCTTGTATAGACTGTCTGAATATCAGTCAGATTTGCACGATATGCTAATAAGCCAAGCCTAATGCTCAACTGAAAGTACCAAGCTGATAAACTCATTTCTCAGCTCATGCTCTTTTTTGAAAACGCTAGCATTCACAAACAAAGAAAAATGAGGGCCGTACATAACATTTATTAGTACTGAACCTTTTACTTTTTGTGCCCTCCCTTATTGAAGCAGCCACTGCTTCTATCAATTTCGCATTTTTAAATATTTTCACTTTTAGGGCGTTGATTGTTCCAAGAATAGTAGGTAACACAGCTTTTGCTGCTGTTTTGATACGCTGGAAAAAGTGAAATTAGTAGAAAACAACGGATATGTCTTGAGGAATTTCAGAGGTTGCTGTTTTCATGTATATTTTCGTGTTGAAAAAAGTGTGAAAATTGACATGAGATACAATACATACTGCTGGCCAATGTAATATTACTAAATATTCAACTTAACACAGTGTCTGTGCTAAAACACTTGTACTGCATATAAACAAGATGGTTTTGGCTCAAAATAGAATCGTAGTTTAAAGAAGATATAGAAATCGGCTCGAGAACGAAGCGACAAGTGGAACATAAGGCTGTAGCCTGCGAAGCCTGTGACGATGATTACACATCAACTGTGCTATTCACTACACAAATGTGAACAGTCTTGAGATTTTCATAACAAAAGTACGCATATTGAACAGCTCTTCGAAAGAACAAGATTTATTCCTAGTGCGTTGACGATCTTTTACTCATTTCTCCTCACGGAGAAAGAAATTCTAGACAGTAACAATTTTCGTTTGGTAACCTTGAGAAAATGCAACAGTTTTGATCGATACACGCCATTGTATAACTCATCCAACAATGACATGTCTAGTATTTTCAAATTACAAAATGCGACGATTTACAATGAAACAAAGACATAGGATCATTAGGTCGGGGATGAAGGGAGAGAGTGTAGGGTGAGGGGGGAGGAGAGAAAGGTGGCTGAGACTTTCAAAATAACTGGACTTACGGAGATGGCCCCAGCAGAGTTCAATATGAATAAAGCTTCTATTGATACCGTCTACTGGTCTAGAATTTTTTGTCTGCTCAGAAAGTTTATCGCCGGACCAAGGGACTGACTGTGCTAAGCGGGAGCGAAAGCGGTACGTTGCAGCTACTAACGTTGTTTCCTGCACCATAAAGGCATTAAGCGCAATTTCTCGTTCATTAAACTCCAGCAGCTTTCATGTACTTCTGAAACTCAGTAGTACTCTGAAAAAAGGATAAACGAGATTACTCTTGAATTCTGAGGAAATTCCAACAAATTATCTTTGTAGCGTTAAAAAAAGGCTATAAAAACGCAATATTTCGGTTTTGTTTCGGTATCTTTAAGATATTACCCACTATGTAACATCCGGAGCTTCGCTCCGGACCACTTGATTTTTATTCAGTTGAAGGTTGTGTTTTTGTGTCGCTGACAATGAAGGTAACCAGATACCTGACTCTATGTATTGATGGTATGGTGTAGTGTGTGCAATCGCACATATTAGGAACTGAATTGGCCTAGACTATCACCATTTTTCAAATAAGAAGTAGATATACGTGTGGGAGGCTTAATCCCATGCCAGAAGCAGCCCAAACATAGTGTACATTTTTACTGACTCCAGCAAGCCAAGGAAGTATTTACAGTCAAACACGAAAATAACCAAGTTACTTGCCACGGTTATGCGAAGTGCAGACCAATCCACCGAGGACGACTCCTGCCGAGTTTTGGCAAGAATTCGAGCAGAAGAAATCACCTCAATGCACATTTTATCTGTGGGCATCTACTGATAGGACTGGAGCATTTGCGCTTCGTTCAAGATGTTTTGCTGATGAGAAGAAGAGAGTTCGGAACGACGCTACTGCATTTCCGATCAACCCAGATAATTTAAAGTCTACTTCAGCTAAAGCTAACGGTTTGACACATCTCTTTGATTTAGAAACAAATTTGTATATGCGCATCATCAATCTAAGTGTCCGGTTTTCTGCCTATAAGGCTTCGCTGAATAGAGGCAAATTTTCGACTGCGAATTTCACATCTACTCAAATGCTGAAGTTCCCAAAGCACTAAAAAACCACCTAATTCTCTGCTTAGACTGTTCATTTCAAGCAAAGAAGGACAGATATACAGACAAAGAGACATTCCGCTCTACATTTAAGACAAAAAACTCAGTTTTCGAATAAAGTAATTGAGTAAAACTTGAAGAAATTTGATTGGTCGAGAAAGTGATAATTTCGCAAATAATTATTCGACTACTCGCCATCATTTTAAGTATATTGCTCATTCGATTGTTAGGTTTTTATTCGTTTTCGAAGTCGTATGTACAATAACTCGGGTATCAATACTATATAATATTTGGCTTAGCCACTTTTTGTATGTTCGCCCAAAAAGGATAGAAGGAATAATGGAATCTAAACCTAATTTGGCAGACATAATGTGTGGGGTGGGGCATGTGTTAACAATCCATTTTGTTCAGGACCCAATGTTTGACTCTAATGATTTATTGATTTTTTGCAGTTTTTGCTTAGGCAAATTTGTATGTTCGCCCAAAAAGGATAGGAGGGGTTATGGAACCTGAACCAAATTTGGCAGACCTAATGTATGGGGTGGGGTGTGTGTGTTAATAGACCTCTTCGTTCGGGGTCCGCCGTTTGACTCTATCAATCAATTGATTTTTTGCACTTTCTGCTCAGAAAATTTTGTATGTTCGTTCAAAAAGGATAACAGGAGTTATGGAATTGAACCAATTTCGCACACTTAATGCATGGGTGAGGCGTGTGTCAGTTATCAATCATTCAATACTATATAATATTTGGCCTAGCCACTTTTTGTGTGTTCGCCCAAAAAGGATAGGAGGAGTCACGGAATCTAAACCAAATCTGGCCGACCTAATGTATGGGGAGGAGCGTGTGTTAATACGCCTTTTGTTTGGGACCCATGGGTTGCCCCCATTCATTTATTGATTTTTTCAATTTTTGCCTATCCAATTTTTTTCGCCCTGAATAATAGAAGTATTAACTTAATCTAAAGACGCATGCGTTCTGAACACCGAAGAGTAGCATAGGCTACAGTCGCTTCATTTCATATGATCATGTGTGCCATTGCATACACAGTCCACTTTGGCGTCCCCATCCTGGATTTGCAATCGCAAAAACGCAAGAGACTTACCGATTGTTATCGATTACATCAATTTGAGGTGACTAATAACTAAAAAGGAAAGAAAATGCTAAGAACACCTTGGAAACACTTACCTGAAGGCTTGTTTCTCCCACGAATCAGGATGGGGACGCCAAAGGTGAACTGTGTGTGCAATGACACACATGATCATATGAAATGAAGCGACTGTACCTCGCGGCAATTTGCTGCGCGTTTTTATCGTTTTTAATAAGATTCGGCTGAATATGCCTTATCAGTAACTCTAATCCATTTTCACCAGTTAGCTATACAAGAGGGGTATAGCTCATTTCATTTACGCGTTCAAATGATGCGAGGCGTGTTTTATAAGATATTGCGTTTGAAACGTATCAATCGATCTCTTAATTTTTTTGCAGTTTTTGCTCTAAAAATTTTTGCCGGCCCAAAATGTTTGAAGAAATTATGAGGTCTGAACTGAACTTCGCAAACATGAACTTCGTAGCGGACAGGTGTCACAAAGCTTATCAAAAATAATCTATTGTTGTTTTTGATTCATTGACTTCCAGCGTTTTTGCTTAACCATTTGTTAGACTAACAAGTTCACTAGCGAATTCTCACATTTGCACAATATAGAGTGGAACGAAAGATATAGAAGGAAGCGAAGCTGCCGAGAACCAGCCGAACCTGCCGCGTAGCGGCAGAGAGCGGCTGGTGTATTAACTAACTCGGTAAGTTTCCTATGGCCAAACAACCCCTCGCAGCCACCAGTCAACCGAAACACAGAAGTTTCGTATGTCAAGGTGACGAGTTAGCTGTTCTCGTAGCTTGATCCCTCTACCCTTAGTTTCTTTCCTTTGTATTAACGTAACAGTTTCTGACTAGATCTTTATATATGGGGGAACATAATTGGGGAGGGAACCACCGTGCCCTGGAGAGTGCCAGCTCATCTGAAGTTGTTGGCACCGCCCAGTCGGCCAGGGGACTGTCGGACTCCAATTAGTTTGCGTCTCAACACGTACTGCAGAAAACCCGTTGGCACAATCGTTCTCACCTCATTAATCGCGCTATGAAATTTGAATTCGAACCTGAGCAAGCCGATTGCAGAGCGCGGCAGGTGCCGCCCTCAGTTTGAACTTGCACATGTTTTTT